TGTACAATTCAGATTCGATGTATTAAAGTAATCGTAATACATCAGTGCAATTTTTCGTAGCTCATCTGGTAGCTGTGAATGCGATTTATTATTGCATATTCAGATAAGCTGTTGCAAAGTAGTGACTGTACTGCAGATAGCACTGCACGGAGCCGGAAATTGTTTTTCTCTATAATTTGTTAATCATTCTCCCGTGAAAAAAACTACATGAAATTGGAATTGTAAATCTTATTGAACTCGATATGTTATGTTGTGTACCTGTTTCTTGTGTCGTAAGCCTTCTTTTTAAGTATGTAAGTTTTAGCTTTATGTAAAGCATGAGTCACACTGAACCAGTATGAAGCAATATTATTTTGTCTGACTTTAATATTGATCTTTCATTACAAAATCTCAGTGTTAAGGGCAAAACATGCTGACAGACACATATAACAAAGACAAAAACAACACCGTCCAGTGTGACTATCTAAGTTTTATCAGTGGAAAACTCATCACCCTTACATGTTTCGATCCCTACGGATCATCGTCAGAGGGCATCAATACTTTTTCCGGAAACTACTATTACAGTAGGTGTTAAATTATATACGAGTACATACACATATGTCTGAAATACATTATATGTGTATGTATATAATTTAACACCTATTATAATAGTAGTTTCCGGAAAAAGTATTGATGCCCTCTGAGGATGATCCGTAGGGATCGAAACATGTAAGGGTGGATGAGTTTTCAAATGATACAGCTTAAATAGTCATACTGGACGGTGCTGTTTTTGTCTTTGTAATTGTTAGTGTGACGGACCAGAATGAAACAAATCAAAGACACATATAACTTATACACTTGGTACAAGACTTGCATAAACACAAACCAGTGAAATGTAAGGTAAAAAGATAAAGCCATCCCTGTAACAGGCTGTGGAGGCCCATAGGGTCACAGATGGCGGTAAGGTTGTCAGCCTTACGCTCCGGCCGCCCTTTACCCCCAGTAAGATTGCTGGTACTCATTCCTGTTAGAGGCTGAGTCGACCCCAGGTCCATAATGCGGCTGGAAGGATTAGGTCAATTGAAAAATTCACCTCATCGGGACTCGAACCCACTACCTTCTGACTTGTAGCACAGTGTCTCAACCAACAACGCTGCCCCGTGCCCCCGAAACAAACCAGTTCAAAGCCAAAGTAGCTGGAGTTCTTGAATGAGTTGCATCATTCATAGCATGGGAGGGAAATTTCGGGAATGTGTACATTTGTTTGAGAGATGCATTTGGAAATGCTTGATACGGTGGAAGTTGCTGGGACAAGGGTGTCATAACATCTCTGTTACTGTTTAAAACTGAGGTCACATAGGTGACATAGCTCAGTCACTAAAATACCAGCCACAGGTTGAGGTTAGACTACCAGCATACCACGTACAGGTCAGCTGTGATTCAGTTTGAGATTTTTGACAGGAAAATTAAAGTTTGGTATTCTATGTGTGTACCGGTCACGGTAGCCGAGCGGTCTAAGGCATGTACTGTCTTCGCTCGCTTGGAAACCGGGATCGTAGGTTCGAATCCCAGTCAGGGGATGGATGTTTAGTTCGTGTGTGTCCGTTTTTCTGTGTCTGTGTACAGGTAGAGGCCTTGCGACGAGCTGATCACCCACACAAGGAGACCTACCGAATGTGTAAGATCTAGAAAAACCGAAGTGAACGGAGAAGTTCATGGAGGTAGGCGTAGGCCCACTGGGGCTGTAGTGCCAAGGGGAAAAATTGTATGTGTGTGGACTTAGCTGACAGTCTTCTTAGGCATTTCCAGTTGTACTTACACTAGAAGCCATTTGGACAATCTCAGCAATTAAATTCTTGAACACATGAGCCTTGAAAACGTTTCGCTAAATGTCAGCGACACGTGCAAGGTAAAGGTAAAGTCGTGCCTCTGCCTAAACTGCATGCTGTGAGGACCGACCTGTAGGGGACTGGGTGGGCTCTAAAGCCAGCTGGGTCCAGTGATGGATAGAGAGCGTTCTCTTGCTGATGTTTCGCAAAATGCAATTCAGAGTTTGGCGGAATTAGAATTGAACAAGTTACTGTAACTCCCGGAATGTGACTGGTAACACTGCGCATCCTGAGCCTTAGTGAATTAAACCTGTTGTATATTTAAATGGCGATTTTATCTTGTTAGATGAGTGCTACAAATAGCATGTTCGGATAGGTCTGTAGAGGTTTCCTTCACTCACCTTGTCAAACACATAATTCAGACTGGAAAGGGAACCGTTTCTAATGTGATATTTCATGTGGAGGATGGAGAGGTTATAATATGCTCTGTAGTTACTGAATGGGATGTATATATGCAGTCGGTATCACGATTGACTATAGGATGGACAGCTGAGAGGCCGGAGTTTGAGTCCCAGTGGGAGCAAGATTTTTCTCCTTTTAATGAAGTCCAGACCGGTTCTGGAGTCCACCCAGCCTTCTCTCCAGTGTGTGGGGGGAGGGGGGGGCAGGGCGTGAAGCTGAGCACTCACCAACTAGTGCTGAGGTCAAGAAAATGTGGATCTATACATCCACTACCCTGTGCACCTTCAGGGCGTAGTACTTAATTAGTTAAGAAACGGGACAACTTTACCTGTATGTAGTTTGTCTTCTCCTGTTTGTTGGTCATAAGTAGGGACCGGATTTTTATGCCCTAATAATCCCTTAAATATGTATGCATTTATGCATGAAAAACTTCCGAAATATGCACTAAAATATGCACATAAAATTTATACCAAATATTAAAATTGGTTTTACATTATTTTAAGACCAACAAATCAATATTTAAGTTCATTTTATGTAATCACTGAATGATTCACTTGCAATAAAAAGCTATACTTAAATACAAATCATGCAATAAAGCCAACATATTTAATTACAAATTAAAAAAACCAATGGCACTCGCCTTTAGCTCTCCAAACTTTCAACTTCTCTTCTGTTGCAGTTCACAATTACTAAATGTTTTAGGTTTTCCATAGTTAGTCGCCTCCTATTGTCTTGTAAGATGTCCGTAGAGCGGGAAAAACTTCTTTCCACCTCACAAGAACTTGGGGGCGCATGTACAAAAGCAGCTGTTTCCTCCACTGTTAGTGATTTTTTACTTGGCAGTTCAGTATGTTTACCGGCTAAAATTTCTTCAATTTCACAAATTTGTTCATATCCTAGATTTTTTGAAAGAATACTGTGTACTTTTTCCTTTACTACTTCACCAACTCTTCCAGGAACTGAATTCAATTTGGAAACAGTGGTTTTGAACACACTTAACGACTGATACAAAGTAGTATTGCTATTGCTTGCCTCCAGTGAGGAAATGGCGGATGGAAGATGAGAGATGTGAGCAGATATATAGGAAAGATTAGTTTCTAGTTCTGCGCTTTTTAGTACATCTTGGGCAATTTGAATTGATGCTGCACTTTTGGGATCAAATGTATGCACGACATCCCTAACTGTTTCTAAATGTTCAGTGTAATAACTCGCTGCACACAGCCACGTGCCCCAGCGCGCTAAAATTGATTCTGGCGGAAGTGGAACGCTCGGTGCGACTGCCTTAAAGGCTTATTTTCTGTATGGCGCTTTAACAAATACCTTCTTCACAGAAGACACCAACTTGTCAAGAAGCGGAAAATTTGCACGATTTGTTTCTGCAACACGATACAACCCATGGGCAAGGCAAGTCAAATGTGTCATATTTGGAAATATAACTTGATGAGCAGTACCGGCTTTCATCATACGAGTATAACTTGTGGCATCAGTCACAAAGAGCAATATGCGCTCATACTGAATGCCATTCGGCCATAGTAAATTCATGGAATTGATAACAAATTCGCGGATGAGGCAAGTTAGGAGTAGAGGGATCGGCGAAGTTCCGTCCTGGGTATTGCGTCAGAAACATGAACCATGACGAAATGTTGAGTCAAATATGCAACATACGGAAAAGAAAACTTGTATACACACGACCATGACTGAAAATTTGAACACAAAATTAAAAAATATGTATGATAAACATTTTAAAAAGGAAATATGCAGTATAAATAGAGATCTTCGAAAATATGATGCTTATTCATAAAACAGGCAAAATATGCATTTATATGCACCATCAAACCATGTCCAAAATTTAAGAAATGAAGTCATTCATACATATATCCAAACAAGCATACTTTCTGGTTGCAAGAAAGAAATATGCATTTGCATTAAAATCCGGTCCCTAGTCATAAGATTTGAAGCAGCTTTAATTTGTTTGCCAGAATTTGCCTTGTGCTTGCCATGTGATTAATGTGTACTATATCATGCATATAATCTGATAATTTACTTCGCAGACATTCTAAGTGCCGGTGACTGCATTGGTTAGTCACAGTTTTGTAACTGGTAATAATTTTAACTCCCATGTTTGTTGTAGTCACTTATTGTTCCATAACTGGCCCACAATGACAGACACTCTGCTAATCATAAAGATGAAGGTTCTGAGGGAGGAAATGAATTTTGTAGAGATATTGGGTTTTCGGGCTTTATCCATCGTCCTGGTTTTAAGATAATTGAAAACACGACGTTTCGGAAACTGGATCTGTTTCCATCCTCAGGTGAGGGAAAACACCTATTCTGTTGGGTCCCTTAGAAAGAGCTAACCTCAATCACGGGAAATGACTGTCCAAAAACCCAGTATCTCTATGTGTTATACACCATCATCAGAAATAAATTTTCCTTCGAGAGACGTGTGCCTGTGCCACAAGACTCATTAATGATTCTGTATTCATTATAAACATTTAGGATTTGAGGTTCTCACAGCTGTGATTAAGGAGAATTATCACCTGGGATGTAGTGCTGTGTGGTCCAGAGAAAGTTAAACGAAGTTTTGGAAGTAGCATTTTCCCCCTGAAATGCTCGTTCACTTTCACTGTCCTATGCTGTGTTATATCCCAGAAGATAGACCTATTTATTATAAACTTGTTTCACATTGATCCATGTGACACATACTAATGGTGTAATAATTGTCCACAGGCGTCCTGGTGGTGAATGTGACATGGCGAGGGAAGACTTATGTAGGCACACTCCTAGACTGTACCAGGCATGACTGGGCTCCACCAAGGTATGAACGATTTTATGGAGGGTGAATGACAAACTCACATGTGTGTTCTCAAACACAGATAATAGATGGTGTTTCCTGATTGTTGTCTTCATGAATTTGCATTCCTCCATGGTGAGGTGTATTTGTTGCATGTGAAAGTCAGTTTACCTGCTGTTTTATATCATGTTTACCACCATGAACCAGCAAATGACGTTAGTGTTGCTTCCAATCTGAATGTTAACATGGTCACAATGATGGCATCACTGTGGTTTCCTTTGTGGAAACGCCATGCCATATATTTGTATATGGGTCATGGAGACAACACTGCAAGTATTCTGGATAATGGCAAAATATTGAGTTGAAGGGCGTGCCCATTGGGCAGGAAGCTTCATGAGCAGTCATTGACATGTCCTTTGTAACTGTAATGGGAAATAATGAAATGGGGGACAGGTGAACACACACAGTGTAGATATGGTAATGTAGTATTTCTTTTCTTGAAGAAATAAGTGGAATTGTTTAAAGAGTGTTAACAAGATGTCTGTAATGTACGTTACTCAGTACTGTTGCATATAGAATTTTCCATTGAAATTGTCACAGTGGGAAGATGATTTCCTTCTTCTATGGCTCTTGCATTAGACAATAGGCTTATAGGAAACAAATTATGGAGCCACTTCATATTTGTAAGTTTGTAGTTAATTTATTTATGCTTGTCAGTAGCTGACGATTCTGTAATAGTTGGTCCCTCCCTTTCATTGAAGGACCGAATAAGAGTTTACATATGCTTTTCTCGGCCAGAGAGAGGTCATGTTATGACTCTGTGAAAATAATAATTTTTAAATATCTTGGGTGGGGGGGGGGGAAGAGAAGATATTTTTCTAAATGTGGTAAAGGTAAAGCTATCCCTGTAACAGGCCGTGAAGGTCCATAGGGTTGCGAAACGTCGAGGCTTCCAAATTTTATTTAGATAGTCTGCTCACAGATGGTGGTAAGGTTGTTAGCCTTATGCGCCGGCCACCCATTATCCCCCAGGAAAATTCCTGGTACTTATTTCTGTTAGAGGCTGAATCAACCCCAGGGCCATAGTGCGACTGGAAAGATTAGGTAAATTGAAACCACTTCATCGGGACTAGAACTCGTGACCTTCCGGGTTATAGCATAGTGCCTCAACCAAGCACGCTACCGCGTGCCCCCTGAGTATGAGTAGTTGCCAAGTTAATGTGAAAATCATGCTTCTGACTGCTTTTTATTATTTGGTGTAAGCGTGCATGTTTGCAATGCACAGACTTGATTAAAAGACACGTGGTTATAATTTATGTGGTACAGAAACAGTTAACATCAGTTTTGCAGAGTCTTGAAATTGCTATATTGTATTCAAAATCATACACCCCCCCCCCANGTCACTAATTTCCACCTGATGGTTAGCTGGAACCTTTATAACTTCAAATGAGAAAGGACAAGTCACCTGTTGAATTTCATTTTCCACGTTCTTAAAATCTTTAAATTGTCATTCGGAGTTGTTAATATACTTTGCCAAAAATATTATCTCTACAACTCTGTAGAATAGAAAAACATGTAAATTTATTTCCCTTAAGTAGTTCGGAGAAGAAAATGTTATTTTATTTTGAGAGCCTTCACTACTTATGTAGCTTATATATAAAGAGGCCATTTCACCATTTGGATATTCTGAAACATCAACCGGAAATATCAATCCAGTTTTCCCGTTTTCTTAGTTGCTTGAATGTGAGATAATTATCTTTCATGTTTAACCAGTTTCATCTGTGAATTGTGGGAATATTAGATCTTTAACGTCTGTGTCCAACTAGTTTTTGTATTTGAGTTGTGGGAACATGAGATTTTATCTTTTATGTCCAAGATCATTAGCATTTCTTCTTATAATAAGTCGCGCACTTTTTTGAAGACTTTACAGTCATCAAGTGCTAGAGCATCATTATGTTGAGCATCCTAATCTTGCAGCATGGATATGAAATGAATGTATTTCAAATCTCTTGGCTGTAGGGAATTCCCATGTTTCAGTGTTCTGCTTTTCACATGTTTCATATTTAAAGCATTTTTCTGGTGCACATTGTGGTGAATAATTCAATGAAAGGACAAATGTTCTCCAGTTAAGACAGTTTTGTTCGTAACATCTTGTGCCCTTTTTAGGAGGCCTAGATGTTTACTTATCAGATTCAGTGATAGTCTGTGGTCACACAGTCTCTATGCACATAAAGAAAGCAGCAACACAACCAGCTCAACAGCGTGGAAAATGTACAAGTCGCGCTAACATATATAACATGCATGTAATAACACTACTGTATTGATATCTATACGCGCTGCTTTAAACACAGAATATATGTAAATATGCCTGTCGATTGCAGCAGTTTTACACGTTTAATAAATAACCGATAGACCCAAATTGTCGGTAAAATCAGTTAGTTTATTACGAACACGAATGAAGATAGAAGACAAAATACCCACGCCGTGACTCAGGAATGCAGCGCATCAGCAAATATACTGTCACACATATTTCAGTGAATATCTGGTGACTGCAGTGAAGAGTAACGTTTAAGAACTTTTGATTCTAAGTTCTAATTGTAATTTAATAAACTGTAAATATATTTTAAGTAATAATCAACCTCGCTTTCACACACGTAAAGCAATTTTAACGTAATGGAACAATTTTGGCAAGGTAGACATGTACCTGAAGATGGTCGTATACGACCGAAACATTTCGTAACAGGGAAGTACGTGTAGACAAGCTAATAAGTTGCATTTGAGACAGAAATATATGCATACAAGTAAATACATTAATGGAACAGGATGCTTAAATATGGTATTGTTACACAGTCGCCTATGTCATTCAAGAGTTGTTGGCAACCTTTCATGCACGCTCTTACCAATTGCCATGTCTTTCATATCTTCCATAGAAAAGAATTCGTTAATAACACCACATATTTAATTCATACCATCACATTGGTAACTGAGTTGTATCTCTTCCATTATTACCATACCTTTCTACAGAGAAATACGTGGACATCTAAACTGTATCCTTTAACTGCATTAGCATCTTATTATTCATTTCTTGCAACCAGCATGCATTTGTTCTAGACCAGTGGATACAAGAGTAGGCTTTCTGTTGGGGGATCCAAACGCGTTGTTCGCCTGTTTACAACTGAAGTGACTTAGAGAAACCGGAAAAAATGCCATCACTTCTTCAAGCCGATCCAATCGCATTAAGAATTTACAAACGGTGAAAAGTTACTAAATGTGGTATTTGAATGGTGTTATTTTTTTGTTAGATTGTGCAAACTGCTGTTGTCACGGAGCCCTAGGTAATGGCTCGGTAAACACATTTCTGCGTATCAGACCGTGTTAGGTAACGCGGTAACGTCATCAACAATACGGACTGTATTTTCCGTGGGGTCTGTGCAGAGTGCTTATAGGGGAAGGATTTTAGAACCTTGAGAGTACAAGGAGGAGAATGGAGCATGTCCTTAGTGAATTGTGAAGATTAGTTGCGGGTTTTTAGCTGAGTTCGAGGTTCCAGTGCAGCGTGTGCAGCGGTGAACTAGAAAGTGTGTAAACCAGCGACAGCGCTATGTTGCCTCTAAGTACGACATGCTGTAACCGAAGTGCTAATAAATGCATCCATCCATCCATCCGAAGTAGAACCCGTTATTTTCGTCACGCGTACCCCCCCACACGCGCACACACACACACACGTGACAATATTTCACTTTTGAGATTGCAATATTTTCAGGACATTTGTTACAGACATGATACTTAATAATGTTAAGAGGGTATGGTGTCCAAGACCACCCTACTCCAGATTGAGTAGGGGAGCAGTTCTGAATTACTTGATCATGAAGATGGGTGATTAAAGTCATCCAAAATAGTATTAGCAGCTTGTGGCCATGCTCTATCTTATTGGGGGGGGGGGGTATTTCCTTAAGATCGCAGTCAAATCGTTGCAGAAGGAGAATAAAGTTGTCTTCCAGAAGTGCCCATAACATTCACACTCTCCTCTATAAATTCCGGACCCAAATTACGAGGTTTATTGGAAAGTTCCCGCGCTGTTATTCTTGTAACTGCCTCGGCGAAAGAAGATGAGAGGGCAGGCCAAGGCCACATGTCCGCAGGCCTGTTCCATCAGTCTGCCGCTTGACATCGCGCTTTGAACACACATTTTTTTATAGGAGTGCTTTTTCGACTTCGTGTTTCGTTTTGCTTGCGATGTATGGCAAAATCGAGCAACGTGTCTGCATCAAGTTTCGCGTGAAGCTCGGTAAATCCGCTACCGAAACCGTTGAAATGATTCGTGAGGCTTTTGGAGAACATTCTTTAAGTCAGACAGCGGTTTTTGAATGGCATTCACGTTTCAAGGCCGGTCGAGTGTCAGTTGAAGATGACGAACATTCAGGGCGATGAAGCACCAGCAAAACGAGATACGAGTAAGATGTTGAAAAAATTCGAGAACTCGTCCACGAAGACTGTCGCCGAACAATCAGTGAGCTCGCAGACACCGCTGGGGTCAGTTACAGATTTTGCCATGATATCTTCACAGAAAATGTGAACATGTGCCGCATTGCCGCGAGGTTTGTTCCCTGACTCTTGACAAATGATCAAAAGCAGCGGCGCGTAAATATGTGTGTTGAGCTATAAGAGAAGGCTAACGGGGACCCAACTTTCATCTCTAGGATCATAACGGGCGACGAAAGCTGGATTTACGGTAACGATCCAGAAACAGCAACAATCACCGCAGTGGAAGAGTCCACAATCACCAAGAGCAAAAGGCACACCAGGTCCAGAGCTCAACAAAGAGCATGCTCATTTTTTTTTTTGATGAGAAGGGGGCTGTTCACCGTGAATTTGTTCCTCCTAACTCTACGGTTAACTCTTGACTTTTACTGTGACGTTTTGAGACGCATGAGAGAACATGTGCGACAAAAACGACCGGAACTTTGGCGCAACCACAACTGGCTCCTTCATGACGATGACGCATCCGTGCACACGTCCCTGAAAACCACAGAGTTTGTGACTAACAACAACATTGTTATCGTTCCCATCCTCCCTACTTGCCGGACTTAGCCCACTGTGATTTAGTTTATTTCCCAAACCGAAAATGAAACTGAAGGGGCAACGTTTTGAAACTGACTGACATCCAAAGCGAATCACAAGCAGCACTCTACTATATAAGAGAAAATGACTTCCACGGTGCTTTTGAAGCTAGGAAAAAAAACCGTGGGATCGTCGTATACGTTCCCAAGGAGACTGTTTTGAAGGAGGTGGCAGCCAAAATTGAGTAAGTTAAGCCAGCATTTCTTTTTGCCTAGTCCGGGAACTTTCCCTTACACTCATATAACAGCAATTGATGGGTGAACTGGAGCATCTGCATGGAGGTGTGTTTGTTAACAGTCCTATTCTGATCAGTACCGTCTGCTGTGTAGTATAGGATGCAATCTCCACAGCGAATGCTGTCAAACTAAACTGCCAGTTTGTGCAAGTGTGCCAGCGCCAGACCAGATCGTTTTAAAAACATAAAATTGAAATAATTAGTCCTTCATGAAGACACTGTAGAAGGGAACTTGATTTTTATGCATATATGTTGGATTGAGTCATTTATATAGGCATGGAAATCATAAGAATAACATTTGTCCACAGGTTCTGTGATTCACCTACAAGTGATCTGGATGCCAGGATGCCTAAGGGTCGAGGGAAGCGTGGCAGAGCAGCAGCCATTACAAATCCTGGAGGGGACCTCAGTAATTTCACAGAGACACGATCATCTGTGCATAGCAAATTGCGAAATGGTGGCGCCAAGGGTCGTCGTGGAGGTGCAGGTTCATCTAGTTCAGGTGCAACAGCTGGAACTGGATCACCTACACCATTTGCACCACCTCGGCCAGAGTCTAACAGTAAAAGAAAGGGGCGAGTGCCTGACGAGGAAGCTCTTGGAGCAGCGAAAAAGAATAGAAGCACTCCTGTGTCAGGAAGCAATAGTCCCCCTTCCTCTCCTGTGCTACTTGAGTGTCCAGAACCAAACTGTTCGAAGAAGTACAAGCATATCAATGGACTTAAGTACCACCAGTCACATGCACATGGGTCTGCAGAAGATGAAGACACAAAAGATGCTGCAAGCTTATCAGAAAATGATGAAAGTAATGCTGAAGCACCAAGCCCAGCTCTCTCAGTCAAATCTCCTGAAAAGTTGACTGATCAACAACCACCACAGCAACAACAGCAACAGCGTAAGGATGAGATCACGAATCAAAGTCCTTTGCAGATTCCTTCAAGTGGACTTCAGTCAGCACCTCATTCCACACCGTCGAATGTTCCAGAACAACCAAGTCAACCAATTCTGAACAAAAGTGGGTTGGTTTCGTCGCCAACTCCGCACTTGCCATCAGGGGCTTTAAACCAAGTCCCTTCTGCTCCTCCAGAACTAGTCCCAGCTCCAGTTGCATCAGCAGGTTCCCTTCTGAACCCTGATACAAAAAATGTAGTAAAGCCTGGTGTTCTTCGTTTTGGACCACCTGTTGAAGACTTCTCTGTAGGCATGTTTTGTAGCAACAAGCAGATTTTACCAACAACTCCCGTGGCAAGCAGCAGCACACCAGTGTCAACGATCAGAGCTGTCAGTGTGGCTGTGGCACCAAGCCAGCCTCAGCTTCAACCTCAACCCCAGCCCCAGACACAGGTTTCTTCTTTACAACAGCCTCAGGCACAACCTCAGACTCAACCTCAAACACTGCCTCAGCCTCAGGCCCTTCCGCTGCAACAGACCCTTCCTCTTCCACACTCACAATTGCCTGTAACTAATAAGCCTCCTCCACCTCAGTTCAAGGTGAAACCAACTGCTTCGCTTATGCCTGACGACAAGAAGAAATTGCAGGGCCACAAGAAGAAGAACCGCAAGTCTCCTGCTGGCAGTCCACATCCACAACCTGAACAGCCTTCTTTTGGCGTGGATGCTGTGGGTCGTGAAGATGTACAAAGCCCTGCCTATTCAGACATATCAGATGATACAGCTCCAGTGTTGGAATCTGAAGTTGGTGATGGGAAGAGCAAGGGTCAGAATGGAGACAAAAAGGGAGAAGTAGGTCAGGGACCTTCTCCACATTCTATGCCACATTATGGCATATATCCGTTCTATGGCCAACCACCCTATCTTGTTCCATCTGTGCAGCAGGATAGTAAACCAAAGGAGAACAATGAAAAACTAATAGAAAACAAAGGCATGGAAAAGGATAAGAAAGATTGTGCAAATAATGGTGACTATCAACAGAAGTTGTTACAGCCACACTACTATCCATATGGCTACATGCCAAGCTATGCTTACAATCTGGAACCAAGTTACCCTGTTGCTGTCATGCCTTCCGAAGACAAAGGAAAAGAACCCATTGGTAAGGATGATAAGAGCCCTAGCCCCTCAGACCATGGGAAGCCTATTCCTGCATCTCCAAGCCCACTCCAGGTACCCAATCCTTCCAAAGTGAAGGTAGAACCTGTATCAGGTGTGAAGGACAAGCATCAGAATGAAAACCATCAAATACTGAAAGAAAGTATTGAAATGAAGAATCAGATGAGCCCATATCTGTATTCACGTCAACAACAGCAACAACAGCAGCAGCAGCAGCAGCAACAACAACAACAGCAACAGCAGCAGCAGCAACAGCAACCAGAAGAGTTGCGGAGGTATTATTTGTATCCTGATCAGCAGCGACGTAAAGAGCCGCAAGTCCAACCAGAACCATTACCCAAACCAAGTGCACCTCCCCCCAAAACAACATTGCCAAGCCCAAGTCACAAGCATAAAGATAAACCTTCAGAAGAGAAGAAGGAGGATAAGGTGAAACAGGAAGGAGTGAAACCTACAATGGAGACACAGGGTCCGCCACCACCACCAACATCCTCTTATGCCTATATCCATCCAAGTTACATGCAGTCACCTCATTACGGTGCATTACCATTTGATCCTGGCCACCCCATGTATCGAAGCATCAATCCCATGCTAGTTCCAGGATATGGGACAAATCCATATCTCCACCCCCAGATACCCCGTTACCACGCGCCAGAAGATCTATCACGCCCACCTTCAGGGCCTACCAAAGCATTGGATTTGCTGCAGCATCATGCTAACCAGTACTATTCGTCACACAAAATCCACGAGCTTCAGGAACGTGCGCTCAAATCTCCCACACCTAAGACTGCTTCAGCAAGTGCATCACCGTCAGGAGCAGGAGGTCCACCCGTAGGGACAGCTCCAGGACAAGGTGTACCTCAAGGGCCTCCTGTTTCTGTGGCAGGTGGTGGACCAGGAGGGACTGCACCTCCAGGGAAGCAGGTGCCTGGTGACGGAAAGGAGACAAGATCTCCTCCTCCCCAACGTCATGTGCACACGCACCATCATACCCATGTCGGGTTGGGTTACCCCATTCTGGCAGGCCAGTATCCTGCACCTTATGGAGGTAAGCCTATGGTCCGGCCCTGACAATAGTAAGTGTAGGTTTTCCTCAACCTACAGTAGTTGCTAGTCGTTGCCATGGCTCGTGGCAGATGTATAATACAGTACACCATATTGGTGACTCGTCGATATTCACTCATTCACCCTCATTCCAGAGAGCTCGCAAAACAGTCATATTTTGTTACCAAAAATATCATTGTTATAATACATATAAAATTATTGTATTTGCAGTAAAGTACCATAGGTTTTAGAGAAGTCTGTGATATCTCATATGGCATTGAGTGGCAGTAAGCACCAACATTTTGTTTGTAATATGTTAATAAGTAGTTTGTAAACCTTGTATGTACATAATACGTATATCTTTGAGCACCAAATTAGATTATATATGGTATTAGTGAGCACTGTAAAAACTTTGTGTCCTTGTTTTACATAGAGGGAATTGAATCTGTGACACATTTCTGCCCATGTTACTAACAAAAATTAAATTTGTGGCATGAGTGTTTTCTTAGTCTTCCAGTGTAGTTACTATGCCAAAGGCAATGTGTTTATTTACACATTCACTGCCATTGAATAATTTTAACTCCACCACAGCAATTGACAAAGCTTCAGTAAACTTTTAGGAATGACACTGATGTTACATATTTTTGGGGGGTTGGGGAGTCGTGTATCAAATACAAAGACAACAAAGTTTTTATAGTGAAGTAGTGCCTAATCAACCAGACAGTAGAATATGTAAATGAAGTATTTCATTGTGGTACCTTGGCGCACAGATCGTTAGTTGGTCGGATGCATGATGTCTAATGAAATTGGCACATCGATCAGTGGAAATCAGTTAACATAATGAAGAAGATTAGAGATGCCACCACGTGCAGAAAACGTTTTGATTCAGTACAACATTGTCACATTGAAATTTACAATATGGATACTTGGCAGTTTGAGAATGAATGTAAATGAAGTCGAAAAGAGACATGGCATAAAGTGCTAGGAAGTATGTGACTGGGTGTCGCCCGGTGCTAATGTGCATGTTTCTTGATTGCAGCGGCTGTGCTAGCGAGCCAGCAGGCAGCGGCTGTGGCCGCCACAGTCATCAATCCGTACCCACCAAAATGAAGTGCGCCTAGTGTAACACTCAAACCCTGCATTGTGCGTGTGCTTGTGCGAATGTACGATGATATAGCGTGTAAACATAGTGATGTGAAGGCCAGGCCTCCGAAATGTTGGACAAAATACTGAAGAAGAGTAGAATGGTGCAAGATCCTCAGTTGTTGCTCCTTCAGAATGAATAATTATGAAATGCAAATATTAACACTGATGTTGGTTGCATATGAGGATTGAAACTTTGGAAACTGAAGTTAAGTGTACCATAGAAGTAGAGCTTGGAAAAGTTCTCTTTTCTTAATAAAGAATGTGTTATGTCTTGTTTCAAATTATAGCATAGCAGACATTAGCTTTTGTGCTCATCGGAAGGTCCCTGATTGTATGAACCATTCCAAGTGCGTTTCTGTGTTAATAATGACACAGTTGAAATCTTGAGATTTTCTTGCATACTGGATGAATGTTTTGCAGTTATCTATAGCTATAATAAAACATATTAATCTTTTGTGTATATAGTGTAAAGACACATTTCATTGTCTTTTTGGAGTCATAGTTTATGTAGACAGTGCAAGAAATTTAAGCTCCATGTGAATTTTAATGTTTTTGAATTACTAGAGAAGTGGCAGAATGTTTATTATCATGATCATCATCATTTATGTTAATGAAAGATGCATTTCATTAATTGGTTAATATCTTCCTTAAATCACCTGTCCATTCCAGTTTTAGTGGAATGTGATGTACAGTAATTACAAATCAAATTATATTATATAGGAGATGAGATATAGCTGTACCTTATATTTGCTTAGGATAATAACAAAGCAAAAGAAATTGTTTGCTGTTGTTAATTTAGTTTCCTGTCTCTTTTGTGTTCAGCAGAATACCCACCTGCCCAGAGTACACTGAGGTTAAAGAAGTGTTAACTGGGGGACATGACATATACACACAAACTGTTGCTGGTAGAACCATCTGTTTTTGCCTAACTTAATCTACTTGTCAGTATTTAGACACTTGTAGAATAGTAAAGCACTATATCACACAATGTCACACGGAAACTCAAAACTACTGGCATCTCGATCTCGCATATATATAGACATACATATATAATATATTGGATTACAGTTTTGTAATAATAAAGCCAGAAGGCCAAAAAGTGATGTGATCCACTTCACATGAAGTCAGTCCATTCTGTTGAAAGTGGTCTTCATCAACAAAATTCCAGTTATCATTGAATGTGTTGCAGCTGATATTTAACAACAATTTGGAGTATCAGAGAGAAAGAAACCAGTGACCTAAGCACATGTGGACTGTGGTGATAATTGCATTGCTAATTGGTGCAAGTTTGTATTGATTTCAGGCTGCACATAGCATGTATTTATTTTAGAAAGTTATTTTGTTGATGATGATTATCTTATTAACCTTCCTTTTCCTGTTCAAATTGTACAGTTTAAGAGAAGTTTGAAGTGACTGAGAGACAATCTGGATACTTTGGTTTCTCTTAACAATAAACATGAAATGATAGAAATATTCAGGGATTATTTGCTTTTTAAATGTATTTTGCAGCCTAATTTATGTCTTGACTAATGAAAATTGTGTACAATACTTTACAGTTAAGAAGTGCTTGTAAAAACGTGCCTTAACATTTTAATTAGGTGTTGTTGTTTGTGATAATTCCAGCAAAGAACTTATTAAAATGCTTGATGTGTTTATCTTACATTGGAGCCAGCTGTTTTACTTATATGCAAAGGGGAATATTGCACTGTTTAGCTCACCATTTATAACTCAAAATTATTTAGTGCAACACTGGCTGCAACAGATATGAAGCCACCATAGTATTTTGTAAAAATCTATGGACCATATTTACATGAACTGACTAACCACCCCAGTGAAGCAATTAACTGATATTGAGCAGTGTCATTCTTGAACAACTGCTAGTTTCTCAGCTGAGCAAGAAATTAACCGCCTTTTGTGGAACCCAGAAGTCCTTTACTACGTTCACTAAAGCCCAACAATTAACCCAGCCTGAGACAGTTGAATACATTCCATATGCTCCCTATTGCTTTCAAATCAATTTCGATTTTATCGTCTGATCTATAGCTGGGTCTTCCATTGGTGTCTCCCTTTGAAGTTTTCAGGTTACAGTTTCTTATACATATACCTGTCTCCCTGTGTGTGCTACATGTCCCACCCATCACTTTTATTTGATCACCATAATTATATGAATAGTGCAAATTATGACTCATCATATAATTTCGTCTGTCCTCCTGCCTCTTATGTAAAAATATTGCCTTCAGCATAAGTTCTTAATGAGAACATTTATTATAGATCTAATAATATAAGTTAACTTTAATGGCTCCTGTTAAAAACTTAGGATTCAAACAGACCACAGAGAAAGATATTGTATATGAAGTCCCTAAGTTTTGTAATGATTATGAGAAGGAAAAGTAGGTGAATTGTGTACAGTTGATAGTTGTGCCTAGTTGTTTATAAATGGATTTCATCCAAAATTCTTGCAAAGGGAGTAGCTGCCTCACAGCATAACAGATCTGCTAAAGATTCAATATTTGTGAGTTTGTCAGCACTGTGTAGAAAGTATGTTTGGATTTGTTTTTGTTATCAAATATGTGACATTAACCTTTATTGGCTATGATGGAACACCTGTGATCCAGGTTTCTGTGCATCGCAGTATCAAGGTGCTAAAATAGGCCCATTCCTTTACACAGATCCAGGCTATGGCACTTTGATACTGCAAGTTTCACTACTGATTGATACATACTTCCTTTATGCTTTTTTCCTTAATTATTTACCATATAAACGCTGACCCCAGCAAGTAATTCTTGAGCTGAAAGGCTCAGATTCCAGTCAGGTTCTGTTTGTGGGACCCTTCCTAGCCATTCACACCCCTTCAGGGCCTTGTTAGCTTTGAGGCAGAAGTGACTGAATTCACCTGGAAGACAGAGGAAAACAACAGCATAGAAAGGGAGCAGCGTTATGCATGGGCAGCACTTGGATGGGTGACTGCTTGGGAACATGAGTTGCAGGTGGGGATTTTTGTGTACTCTGTGGCCCTTGAAAGGCTGGCTGCAGAGTTTTTCAGTCCACTGTCCCTATAAACCCAGGCCAAGGCCCCAACTCACCCTCCTCAAGCATGACTATACATAGACATACACACCCATCCTATATACTTAAACCCTGTAGGTGGAAGCAGCATGCACTGCAAAACTTCGACAGCATTGCCTACATCCACATGATGTAACCGCATAAGAACACAACATCAGCAGCAGCAGTTAACTACCACAAAAGAGTAAAATCAGTAAATAAATGTTTTCTCACTGTTAAATAAGGCTTATAATATAAGTAAGTAAAAAATCAAGTTATTCCTGTAATAGGCCGTGGTGGGCACTAGGGTTGTGAAATGTTGAGGTTCCCACATTTTCTAGACAATCGGCTCATAGATGGCGGCAAGGTTGTCAGCCCTACGTGCCGGCTGCCCTTTTCGCCAAGAACATTCCTGGTACTCCTTTCTGTGAGAGGCTGAGTTGATCCAAGGGCCATAGTGTGGCTGGAAGGATTAGTCAATTGGAAAGAAATCCACTGACCTCATCGGAACTTGAGCCTGCAACATTCCGGCTTGTAGCACAGTGCCTCAACCAACTCCGCTTACATTATAAATATATTAATCGCTATTTAATTCTAATTTTCATTTTAATTGTTATCCTTTTAATGTCACGTTTTAAACTATATTTGAACTACATTGAAATTAAAGTGTATTTGTTAGTGTAAAAACTCAAACACGAAATGGGTCAGTATTGAACGATGATGCAATGCAGGAACTAGTACCAGCATTCCTTGTATGCCTGCCTGTAGCGTTACCACCAGCAGCCATTAAACAAAAATGTTGACACACTAGTGTTTATTGTCTTTTTGAGAATTATTTTTGTCTAGACTGTCCCATTTAGGGTTACCAGATTTTGTAAAATAAAAAAATGAGTGATGTCTCGTTGCTTGTTTATAACGACATTTTTCACAACTAATAGGCTATAAAATATACATAATCAACATACTACATAACTTACAAAATGCTACTACACATCTGTATTACATAGGCCTACTACACATTTGCAGAACAAAACAAATATTAGGTAGCCCTATTACATATTTATAGAATGCACAAAATATGACCTAGCACATTTGTAGAACACACAAATATTAAATACTACATATTTATAACTTTCAAGGCTGGTCGATGAGATTCTGTTAATTGTATTTCACTGAACTCTTAGCACTTTTTAATAATTGAAAATCACCCTTCGAAAATTTATAAAATTTGAACAGGATTTGCTTTCATAGTTCACTGTCACCTGGAGTTCTGCCTTGATTAAATCTGTTTCTTGTGTCACTCCACTTACTTTTCATGAATGAAAAGATTCGCTTCACAAAAGCATTTGAGCCAAGGACGCTAAACAGAAATCCTACCACTTTGGAAATATTTGGTACATCATGCTCAGGTACTGAAGAAAAAAATGTAAGCCAGTTTGCTACATAATCACCTTATCTGTTCACACTATTACAGAGGTAATCTTGATGGCTGCTGAACTCCTTCTACGGGTCATCAATGCAAACATTTTCACTTAGCTGAAACACTTCTATGGCTTTTTCAAAATCTTTGAACTCAATCCCTTCCTGTAGAGAAAATCCTGCAAGGGATGCATGGGGACTGTCATCTGTCACATCATATCTTTTTTGCAGATACTGAAGCATATTGCTATCAAAGCTGTTCAGGTCTTCAGTAACCTTTTTCTGTAATGGCATAGACAATCCATTAATGAGTTCTTTTGCTTTGCTACCAAAAAAGTTTTCTTTCCTTCTCTACTGGATTTTAGAACTGAGAAGTTTCATTTGTTTGTAAGTCTCTAGTACACTTAAGTCAGACCTTTCCAGTGTTTTATCTACCATTTCCAGCTGACTTCCAATATTACTTAAGAAATTAAAGTATATTTCAGGCAACACTGCTTCTTCTGAGTCATCTTTCATGAAAATGTTAGATAATTTTGGACAGTTGGGAATACTATTGAAGTAACTTCTCATTGCTTCCCAGTTCTGAAGCAGTCGAGAAATGGCTGGTGTTAATGACAGCCACCTAGTTGGAACATGCCTCAAAATCTGAGCCCACTCCAAATTCAGAAATTCAAAGAATGATTTTAACCCTTCTCTTCTTTTGGCAGAGACAGAGAAGTGATTATATATCTTTAAGACTACACTGTCAACATCAACATCTAATCTGTCAATTGCAAACTTAATTGTGTTATGTATGACATGATTAGAGCAATTAGCTTTCAGTAAATTTGGGTTTTTACTTCGCAGCAACTGATATACAAAATGTGTTTTTCCATAGTTCACATTGGCATTGTCTGCACAATAAGAAGACACATAATTTACATCCAAGTTGTGCTTTTCTAAGCTCTGCAGCACCAAACCAGTAATTGCCATAGACGTTTCCTCAGCACTTTCAACAAAATCTAGAAGTTTATTCTGCACTCCCTTTAAAGGGTCTAAGTACCGGATGCAAGCAGGGAACATTTTTCAGTTGCTTCTGTTGCCAACAAAAAAAAATTTGAAGTATTTTCTGGACATCTTAAAATAGACACGTCATTTACACTTTTAGGAGCAATAACGTACTTCACTATCATTTCCGCTTTAGTGCATCCACATGAAAGTTTGGAAGCAATCGCGGAATCACTGAAAATATGGGACACGAGTTTATTTCCGCAGTCCAGACTGGAATAACTTAAGTTGTGTTTCACTGCATGATACACTAAACCAAGTTCCCACACTGTGCTGTTGTTTTCTCCACATTCATTTCCATGCCATAGCACCTTCCAGTTTCAATTAGTCTATCAATCATGCCCTGTAGCACAGTTTCTTCCTTAGCCATTAACACAAGGTCATCTGCATATTTCACAGTTTGAATAATTTGCCCTCCTACTTTGAAGTCTCCGAGCCCATCCAGAGCTTCCTTGGTAAGGCATTCGCTGTACAAGTTGAACAGAATTGGTGATAAACAGCATCCTTGTCGAACTCCTCTTCCAATCTGCACACTTCCTGTCTCCCCCCTGTCCAGTCGTACTCTAACTTTCTGATCCATGTACAATTTGCTAATCAATCTTCTTTCATGCCAATCGATACCTGTTTCTTTCAGGATCTGCATTAATTTGGTCCAGTTTACCCGGTCAAATGCCTTCTGCCAGTCTATGAAGCAAACACACAGTTCTTCATCTATCTCCAAAGTTCGTTCCGCTATAATTCTCATCATCCCAATTGCATCCCTGGTTCCTTTTCCTCTTCTAAATCCAAACTGATCTTCTCCAAGTACATCCTCTATTTTCCTTTCAATTCTTCTTTTAAGTATCTTTGCTATTATCTTTGCTGTATGTGCAATAAGACTTATTGTGCGATGGTCGCTGCATTTTGTAGCTTTTGTCTTTTTCTTTAAGGCAATCATTGTAACTTCTGTAAAGTCCTTGGGCCACTCTCCACTTTCATATATGGTGTTCATTAGTTTTGTCAGTGTTTTCAAACCACCTTCTCCCAGTAACTTGAGCACATCTCCAGGTACATCATCATCTCCTGTAGCCTTTCCCTTCCTCATTTCCTTGATAGCTTTTTCCACCTCACTTTGTAAAATATATGGTCCTTTCTCGTCTGTATCTACTTCTTCTTC